AGAAAGAGCCAGACTATCCAGGGGTTGGCCAAGTATTTTAAAGAATTGGTCTACCAATTTATGCTCCTCATCAGATAGTTGCTTTAATCTTTCTTCAACAATTAAATTCACAGCAGTTTGTTGAACAACAGAGATGCCCAAGAGTAAGTCTTGCAGAGGAGTAACTCTGGGTTGCTACAATAAAAAGTTTTAAGTTAGTGATTAATTCAAGCTGCGGAAAGTAGACTACTTGAACATATGTTACCCCTATTGAAAGTGTAATAGAAGTCTCAATGTTGGGCAAGTTGGAAGTGGCCACACCTGCCCTTGTTTCAACTTGGTCAGACAAGTGTGCATCTACTAGTAAAGGTGGATGGAATGAATATACTTGGATAGAGGTAGTAGGGAAATGAACAGGTTGTGTAAACACCTCATGAGGAGTTCTCATGTCACTTAAAGTTGATTCATTATCCAATACCTCAGTATCAGCTCTGTTAGTCTCATTCCTTTGATTGTAAAATGAATTATGACTATCCTAAGGAATATTATCATTTTGCTCAGAGACAAGGTCATGAATAAGAGAAATTCTGTCGACAGCAGCTGTATGGTTGTCAGGATTGTCAGTTAAATCAATTTGGTTTTCTCTAACATAACCTGAGTCAATTGGAGTTTCTCTGGCATGGCCAGTGGCTTTTGATTCTTCTAAGGAAAAAGCCACACTAGGAAAATTGATGATCTTATTTGTTCCATGGTGTACTCCTCTAAGAGGAAAGGCCATTAAGTCCCCTAGGGCCATCTCCTGAGGAATATCAGCCAAAAGTTGTGCTAATTCAAGGGCCAGTTCTCTTAGGCCTACCCTTTCTAGGCCAAATCTCTCTAGGCCAATTTGTTCTTCCTAAGTGAGTTGGGGATTCAGATGCCCTGAGTTTGTTGGAGAAGAAGGCATTTAGTCTGGTCTTCAGGCATAGAAGGAGGATTGATCTGGGTTTCAGACAGCCTTTCATTCTCAGGTATAGAAGAGAGTAGAATGGTTTGGGCCTCAGGCAATCTCTCAGAAACAGAAGGAGATGCAGCTGGAGAGAGAAGTCTTCTCCTCTTGTATGATTGAAAGTATGTCTGAAAGAGAAGAAGGAGATTAGAATAAGGTGTTAGTACGATTAAACATAATGCATATTGATTTAGTAAAAGTTTGAATGAAAGCTATACCATTATTAGAAGAGATGAAGAACTACCAGAAGAAGAGAATGCTGGTGTAGCAGGAGCTGTGATTTGAGGAAGAACTGGTTGTTTTTGTCTTCTTTTTGACCTCCTCTCAAGGGCAGCACCACCCTCCAATTAGGGCTGAGAATATAGAATTTCTTGGATTTCTTCTTGCCTACTCTTGGTCCTCTTCTCAATCTCTATACCTTGGTTGTAAGGTATGAATCCTTCATAGCTAGTGGTGTTTTGAAGGATTGCCTTTGGGTCTCTTTGGTGGGTTCATTGGAGCCTTGCCTTTGTCTTTAGGAGCTGGGTCAGCCTGGGCAGACATCTCTATAGCCAAAGGAGTAGTCATAATAGGAGGTTGGGCTACGTAAAACAAAATAAACAAAAAAAGAACAGAAATGGCTAAATGAGTATCAACACAAACTCAGAAGTAAACAGTGTGCCCAAGGAAAGAAAAGGGTAAGTAGAATTACCAATGGTCATCTCTTTTCCTTTCATATTGTTTGGATGCACATTCCAAAGACAAGCTTGAAGATCCTCATCAAAGATCAGAGCACTCATCAAAGACCACCATTTAGTGAACCTTGTGGTAGAGTAGGGAGTAGTCTGGCAGTAGTAAAAACTAAATTGATCAAATAGATTCTGATTTTCAGCCAGCAAGTCTTTCACTTCTTGGGAGATTTTGAATTGAATTATGGATCCGACTTGCTCATGGATGGTAGGATGCAAGTAAAGACAAGGAACAGTTTGATATAGTCTCATTTGCCTGGCCCATTGGCAAGGATTATAGCTTTCGAAACTACAATTAGAAAGTTTGCTAGTGGAGATGGATCCACCCACTAGAATGTATCTGGGAGTGAGAACTTGAGCTCAGAAATCTTTTTGTTTTTGCCTCTAAGTGTCACTTAATGTTTGAGGAGCAACATTAATATATGTTAACCCAGTGGAGTTGAAATGAAAAGTATGGAAATGGATCAAAAGTTGAGAGTTTATATCGACAGGCAGTTCAAAGAGAATAGTGAACATCTTAGTAAATGAGTTGGATGGAGCTAGTCGAAAGGATAAGAAGAATTCAGTATAACTTTCACAAGGAGAGAAGTAAGGGGTTTGAGTGGTAGCCTAATTTCAAAGAAATAAGCATAGAGCCAGGCCTGAAAAAGACAAAAAGGACCTCCACAGTTATGATCTATCTCTTTATCAACTAAAGAGAAAAGACCCCTGTATAGTGTGCCCAAAAGGAAATGGGTAAAGGCCAGTTGTGTGCCTTCTTGGATTCAAGTGGCAAGGGCCAAATACACTTTGGTGATTTTTAGGCCTGGGACACATAGAAAGTGTTGAGAGAGCCACAATGGACCCGTTTGGTAGAGCTGTGGAAAAGTGATTATAGATTATAGCTTAACAGAAAAGTGATAAGTAAAAAGCTGTTCTTTCTTCTTTGGTGGGTTCATCAGAAAATTGTTGGTATTTGGTTTGGAATTTCCCATAGCTAAGGTCATTATCAATTGGGACTATTGATTGAGGAGTTAAGAGGGCGCTTATATATTGGTCAGTAATAGGAAGGCCAGTCAAATGTACAACATCAAGGATAGTAGGAAAAATCATACCAAACTTTAAAATTAAGAAATTACAGGACAGAAACCAAAATCAAGCTGCGGCGCCAATAGTCCATTTGTCCATATCTAGGGCTAAGGTTGACAATCGAAAGACATCATAGATGCCAAGAGTTCTCCAAAGGTCAATATCGTATATCATTATACGATGAACCCATAATCTCCAATTAAGGTTTGGTTTCTACCACGAGCGTAAGGGTTAGGGCTCGAGTGCCACTGATTCCATGCTAGTTTTGCTTTTTTGAAAAGCATCACTTCAATATCTGCAATGGGATAATGAAGGGTAAGTTCATCAGGGATTTTAGCAAAAAAGGTCGGACTTAATTCCCCTTAGGCAGAGGTTTTGTTGCGAGGAATAATGCAGCTATCAAAAATATGTTGGCGAAGTAGCTGTTGGAACTCAGGTGGAAAACATTGCACAAGTGGCGTTTCTGCTTGTTTCTTTCCTTTGGCTTGAGCTCGTTTAGGTGCCATTAGGGTGTATGAGCAAAAAGGGGTTTCAAAGCAGAAAAGTTTGAAGAGGCGAAGAATAGAGTAAAATAGAGGGAATGAGAGTAATGAAGTAAGAATTTGAATTCTAACGGTCAAATAGCTTATGGTGGACCCTCCTGATTGATTTTGGGCCTGTTATTAACAATTGGGCTTAACAGTTGGGCCTTTTTCATGTTTGGGCCAATTTTATCAGCTGAGTGTTATTATAAGTATTTGGGTTTTAATACGTGGGTTTGTTGCCCAAATATATAAGTGTCTAAACCATATTTCGTTTTTTTTTTTTTTACATTCATTCAAAACCAAAAAAAAAAAAAATCTCTTTTTGTCTTGAATGAGGGGGGGCATTGTTGGCACTAAAATTTATCTTCTTTGTCAAATAAACATAATAAGTACAGAGGGTTGATCCATGGGATGCTAGGAATGAAGACCATAAGTTTTCAGTGGGGAGTGGACCCCAAGATGCAGAGCAAGTGGTAGTTGAAGCCATTAAAGGAGTAGATGTGGCAAATGTTTATGTCGATTCCTCCGATAATGCAGTGGGATGTGGCCAAACGTGGCTCAGGTGTCAAGTCATGGAGATTAGGCATGCCAGTGAGGCAGGACACGTGGTTTGTGTGCAAAGAAGTGTGTAAGAGTAAAAATGTTACAACAAAGAAGCAGTTACCAGCAGTTATGGAGATCATGGGCAGTTATGCAGGAAGTGGAGGAAACTTGCTTCATGATGGGACACAAAGCAGCAGAGAAGTAGCAATGCCAGCAGCATACAGGTGGAAAAATTCGAAGGAAAAAGGGTCATCAATCAAATTCACAACCCATGTGGAATTAGGAGTAATTTAACTTACTTAGCAATAGTTTCTGTATTTAGGAGTAGTCTGTTTGTAATTCAGTCTCTATAGCCAAATTTTCCTCTGTCGATTATCATGCACATTGAACTTGTAATTTAATTCTTGTAATTAAGTAGCAAGTTTACTTGTTTTTCAATCGATTTTCAGTTTATTCACACATGTTTCTTCGCATTACAACCTCCAAAGATGTCCTTGAATTTGTCAAGGCATAGAACACTAACCATAGTCACTTGATTTGTTGTTGTATGTGAAATTTTGGTTTCTCTGTCGAATCACCTCTGTTGATTTGACCCAGACCAAATTTTGCTAACACCGGAACTTCATTTTCTCACTTCTTTGACAAAATGTAGAAGCTTGGAAAATTTGGTTGTTGAAAACAAACAATTCAATGGTATCTTACCAAATTCTATTGGAAATCGCACAAGTCCCCTTCTACTTTTTGCCGCATCTAATTGCCAAATAATGGGTCACATTCTTAGGGGAATCGATTATTTTGAAAACTTGAATACACTTTTTCTGGCCGACAATGGTCTGACAGGAACCATCCCATCAACAATCGGGAAATTATAGAGCCTACAAAGATTGCATCTTGATGGAAACAAGATGGAGGGAATCATTCCAAATGAGCTTTGTCTTTTGAAAAAGTTAGGAAAGTTGTCACTCCAAAACAATGGCCTCTCTAGACCAATTCCACCTTGCATAGCAAATATTAGTCTTCTACAGAAGAAGCTACTAGGTTCTAATGCCCTGAACTCATCAATACCCATAAACTTTTGGAGCCTTGAAAATCTAAGTCTTGAATTTATTTTCTAACAATTTTAAAGGAAGTTTACCACTGAATATAGGAAAGTTTGAAGTTATAGAAAACATGGATTTATCTTGGAACAAAATCTCGGGAAACATACAGCCATTCATTGGGGCCTTTCAGTGCCTTAGCTCTCTAAACCTGTCAATAAACTCGTTTGAAGGTATCATTCCACAATCTTTTGGTGATTTGATAGCATTGGAATCTATAGATCTCTCTTACAATAATCTATTTGGCAGCATACCCAAATCTCTTGAGAAACTTAAGTATCTCAGTTATTTGAACTTGTCATTCAATAAGTTGTCTGGAGAGATTCCAAGTGGAGGACCTTTTGCAAATTTCACTGCAAAATCTTTCTTGCATAATGAAGCACTATGTGGAAGCCCATATTCACAAGTCCCACCGTGCAACCATGGTACCAAAAAATCTAATATGAAAAAAATAATGCTCACATGTGTCGTAGCAGCCACTGTTTTGGTGGCAGCTATTGGATTCTTATATATGCTGAGAAAATGTCAACAAAGTAAAGTGCGGATTCCTGATTCTGTTAAATTGTTATCAACCGTGGAGCAGAGATTGATTTCATATTAGGAGCTTTGTGTTGCTACAAGTAATTTTAGCCAAGCAAACTTGCTTGGAGTGGGAAGTTTTGGTTCTGTTTACAGAAGAATGCTTCCGAATGGGACAGATGTAGCGGCAAAAATTCTAAATTTGCAAGTTGATGGAGCTTTCAGAAGTTTTGATGCAAAATGTCAAGTGTTGCGAACAGTCCATCATAGAAATCTTGTTAAAGTCATATATTCATGCTCTAACCCTGAGGTAAGAGCATTGGTTTTGAAGTACATGCCCAGTGGAAGCCTTGATGAGTGGTTTTATTCTCACAACTACTGCTTGAATTTCTTTCAAAGAGTAAGCATCATGCTTGACGTAGCAATAGCTTTGGAATATCTCCATCATGGTCAGTTCGAGCCTATTGTTCACTGTGATTTGAAGCCAAGTAACGTTCTATTAGATGAAGACATGGTCGCTCATTTGGGTGACTTCGGCATTTCCAAAATTTTAGTTGAAAATAGGATTGCAACACAAACCTAGAGTTTGGGTACCCTTGGCTATGTTGCCCCAGGTAAATTTTCTTTTCCCTTTCTGTATTTGTAATTTTTCTTTTTAATTTTTCATGACTATTTATTCAAATATGTGAAAGGTATATTATATTTAGGGAGACGTGCTTGTAGGTCTTAATAGGTGGATTTATTGTCCAATAGGTCATGTAGTAATTAATGGTATTTTTCATCAAACACTATTAAAAAATATCACTAATTATTTATTTTCAGCGATAGTTTGAAAATTTTGTCACAAAAAAATCACTAATTATATGTTTTAGCGATAGTTTAAAAAAATTGTCAAAAAAAAGTTACTAATTTCAAGAAAATGAAATTTGTAGACTGCACTCATTTTGTGTATAGCCCACATCACAATAAATTTGAACTTACACTTTAGGATAAATTATATTTAGTAGTCCCTAAAGTTTAATATTTTTTTCGTTTAAGTTTCTAAAGTTTAAATTTTTTCAATTAAGTCCTTAAATTATTAAATTCAAATCAATTTAGTCTAGAAGACAATATAAAAATGAAAGGAAAAATTACCCGTAGGTCCTGTTTGAAATATGTGTACACTATTTAATCCAACAACTTTTGAGTGAACCCAAAAGTCATACACGTTTTCCTCTCTCTCTCTCTCTCTCTCTCTCTGTGTTTTCTCTCAATTTTTTATGTTTTCCTCTCTTTTTTTTTCTACATTTTCCTCTCATTCTCTTTGTCATGTCCGACGACTGGTGATCACACCTTCCTTATTCTCTTTCTCTTTCTAATATATAGTCATCGGTGACCGACGACAACCATTGATTGGGGTTCACGGGCAACCACCATCTACCGACACCAACTCATTACTTCATTCTCACCGACGGCGAAGAAGATGAGTAGATATACTCAAATTTGATGTAGATCAGATCTACATCAGATTTGAGTAGATCTACGTGAGATCCGACTAGATCTAAATTAAAAATAGTTGCCGGAATATAATATTCTTTCTATATCTATTCTTTCCTTCGATTTCTCAATTTTTCTACATTTTCTCTATTACACACGTCTCTTTTTCTATTTTAATGGAGACAAATTTCAAGTTCTGAATACGTTGTTTTTAAGTTTTAGTTACAGGCGGTGAAAACTGTAAAATTTTACAGTTTCAGCTTTTTTTGGTGCTGAAATGAATCATGCGTTAAAACTGTAAAATTTTGTAGTTTCATAACATGTTTTCAACTTAATAGAATAATGCTTTGAAATTGTAAAATGTTACAATTTCAAAGTTTACTTTTCAATTTGATCAATATTACAGATTATTTGCTTAAACCCTATAAAAATTGAAAAATAATATATACTTTTTCACATTGTTGTTTGTTGTTATGTTTTTTAACTATAATTTCTCCATTTTTTTCGGGCAATATTCTGAATATTTCGGTGAGTCTCCGATGATATTCTTGACATTTTTGAGTGACGTTCAGAACACTCCAACGAACTTCTAGCGATGCTCAAAACACTTCGGCAAACTTCTAGTGATGCTGTAGCGACTTTCCGGTGATATTGAATATTTCGGCGAGTCTTCGGTGAGTTTGATGGAAGTCATTGGAGAAAAAAAAAGGAGTTTTTGGTAACAATTAAAAATATGTAGAACTAATTGGTGCTAGTATTTTGTTTTGAGATTAGATGGATTTTGAACTTTGTGTATGAGACTTATTGGTAAGTGCCCCAAAATAAAACATAAAGCCCAAAGATTATATAAAATTGTTATAAGGCCCGAATTTTAATTTATTGTTAACTTAATTATGTGTTTTAGAATTGACATCAAAGTTTGGTTTATTAGTTTTGCCAATATTAATATATGAGTACTAGATACACTGAAGAAGTCAAATAAAATAATTTAAATAATAATACTGCTCTACAAATAATTATCAAACACAATAATAATCTGGTTATTAAAAGAACTTAACGAAAATCTTAAGGAAAGTCAATTAGAAATTATACACGAAGTTCGACATTTAGATAAAGGTAAACAATTAACTTTTGTAGAAACTAATGCAGATAATTATTCTTATCCTTATCTTTACAGGGTAACTCTAAAAGAGAATTTTTTGAATTAATACCACTAGAAAAAGAAAGAAATAGATCTAAGTAATTATAATTTAGACGAATTATAAATAATGGCGGAACAAGAAAAAGATAATGAAATGAAATATAAAATAATATTAGAAATATCCGAAAAATAAGATAAAATGGATAATTGTGTATTATAAGAAATAAATAGTAGTACAATAGAAATAGAAGTAGAAGATGACCTATATAAGTAATTAGAATTAATCAGTTTGAGAGAAATATACCAATTATAAAAACACATATGCAAAGAATAATTAAGTTAACAATAAATTAAAATTGGGGTATGATCACAATTATATATAACCTTTAGGTTTATATTCTATTTTATATTGTTTTCAGGACTAAATTGATTCGAATTTAATACTTTAGGGATTTAATTGACAAAATTAAAAATTTAGGGACTTAAATGAAAAAACGTGTTAAACTTTAGGGACTATTATCGTAATTTATCCTACACTTTATTTTGGGCATTTTTTGGGTTATTTGTATCCTCTTCATCAACAAAAATAACAACCCTTCTGCACTATTACAACCATAGTACATTTATTAAGGACACTAAATATTTCGAAATTTAGAGCTATCGAACTGATATGATGATATAATTAATCTTGTTTGCTTGGTGGAAACTATGGATGTTTGGCAGAGTATGGTTTGGAAGGAAGAATTTCAATGAAATGCGACATATATAGCTATGGAATAATGTTGCTAGAGATATTTACAAGAAAGAGAAACACCGATGAAATGTTTGCTGGGGAGCTGAGTTTGAGACAATTGGTAAAAGGATCACTTCCAAACTCACTAATAGAAGAGGTGGATTGTTAAGATTAATAGAAGACAACGAAAATATGATCGCTTATCTTTTACTAATCTTGGAAGTAGGCTTGGAGTGTTGTGCAGAATTGCCTGAAGAGAGAATTAACATAAAAGACATGGTAACCAAGCTTAACAAGATTAAATTGCAACTCCTTCGCGACAGCCACACTTGAAATGTCTATGTAAAGTCTACTGTGTTCCTGTAATTGTGTATTTTCTATAATTCTGTAATTCTACATTTTTTTTGCACTTTGTATTTCTGTAATTCTAAAATTCTATATTTGTTTATTTCTGTAATTCTGCATTGCGAATAATCATAGGTTTGTTATGTATATGTGTACCACCCAATATTGTTTTGAAGATCTCTTCAAAAAATTATTGTGGGTCTAGCTTGTCTCTTGACTGGACCGTATCGTTTGGGCCTGTGTGACCTATCACAAAGTTCCAATTTTGATAATATAAACTATTCATTTTTAGACCACTATGTAAGATTATTCATGAAAAAAAATAAGTTGATCCAATAATTATAGCCACATTAGTGAATATTTTTAGACCCCTAGTAAATATATAATATTTATTACATTCCAATACAATAATTTGAGGGAAAAAATTAAATTTAAAATTCAAACATAGCATATTTTAGTTTTAAATTATTGGTTATATTGTTGAACTAGCCTGCTGGTGTACAAAATTAGCTAACCCCCCAAGAATTGCTGCTGAAAGTGAGGGCTCCTGTTGTGCCTAATCGGGAGTGCTCTGCCTCTCCATAGACTCCACCTTGGACCTATTTTAATAATTTAAATTGTTCATCTTTTAAACCATGTTGAGAAAATTAATGCAAAAAAAATGAATTTATTGAATGTCAGTAACCATAAAATCATATATTTTTGTTTCAAAAAATATGGATAATTTATTCTCAAAATCACATATATCATTCATTTTTTTTAAGACAAATATGATTTGATCATGTGCCAATCGATATCTGATCAAGCTAATCTTTTACATGGATGATCATCTCAATAGAATAAACAAAATAAATAGTTTGAATCATTGCATTACCCGAAGTAGAGCCCTCTAAGGGGCACAAGATGGACCTTCATCCAACCTAATTAGACTATATAAGCAGAGCAAGCAACAAAATGAAACAAAATAAAAGATTTGAGCCCTTCTAATGCCACTCCATGAATTATTTCATTCAGATATTCATAATTTAATTTACTAAATATCGATATGTGGCATATAAGGAATGTTGGTGATAATTACAAATAAAACACTAGAAAATACAAATAGTAAAAATTACAATAACTATTGTAAGGGTTGAGGCGCGGGAAATTCGTTTTCTTTAAGGAGATTCAAGCCCTCTGTGGTTAAGCAAAGCCTCACTCAGGTGCAGCAGAAAAAACCTTGACTTGCCCCCCCAGGATACAACAGCCTGACTAAGTCGTATGGTTAACCAATACTGCACAATTGGTTGAACCCAAAGCTTTATCACATACACCCTTTTTTATTTGCCTGATAATCTCACACAAGACATAATAAAAGCAACCAAAACTTCTTCTCGTATATCTCAAGATAGGACATAGCTCAATATATATAGGAGAAAAAGCTAAGAGGGTCTTCCTTGGTGGATAAGAAAAGGAAGACTTGGAAGACTTGAAAGGATAAGACTTGGTAATGACTTATCTTGGAAGACTAGGAAGGATAAGACTTGGCGAAGACTTATCTTGAAAGACTAGGAAGACTTGATGTGGATAAGAATGGGGAAACTTGACCAAGACTTGGCAAAGACTTGAATGGTAAGTAAACTTGGTAGAAAAGAAAAGAAAACCAACCAATGACACATAATAATATTAAAATACCTGCTAACATTCCCCCACCTATTTTAATATTATAGGTAACAAAAACTGAGATTATTAGGCAAATAAGGATATTATGCATCATGGTAGGTGTGCTCTGTATTGAACCTCCATTAGTGAAACAATAATATCTACTCCAGACCCAATAGTATGCTCAGCATTGAACAATGACTACTAAAGGGAAATAAATAATTATTGCACACACATAATATTTCAG